AACAAAAACAAAGACATGTGGACATGGAAAGGTACGGACATCCGAGTGGTGGCTGGTTTATGCATGGGTGTTTTCATGTAGCTTCAGTTTGACAACTCCATGAACTTAAATTGCCAGTCCCAATGATAATTTTTTGATGCCCTTTATTGTGTATTTTTTAAGCTGTTGTAACGTGGCATCATTGTACGATATAGTATACACGTATCCACGTAACAACGACAGAGAGAGAGAGAGAGAGAGAGAGAGAGAGAGAGAGGGGGGGGGAGGGAGAGAGGGGATGAGAGAGGGGAGAGAGAGGAAGGGAAAAAGGGAAGGAGGGAGAAAGAGAGGAAAGGAGGGGGGGAGAAAGGGAAGGAGGGAGGCAGAGAGGGGGAGGGAGAGAGAGAGAGAGAGAGAGAGAGAGAGGGGGGGAGAGAGAGAAAGAGAGACGGCAGAGAGACAGAGAGACAGAGAGAGCGGGAGCGAATATGTGCACCGGCCAATCTTATTTTCCGCCTCTATCAGATCGATCAAGCCACCCCGATTCGCCGGACACGCGAGCACCCTACATTACTCACACAACCCTTCTGTCTCCGTGCTGCTCACACTACAGATCCGGGAGCAGTCCAAGATCCACCTGTCCAGTTCCAGTGGCCACACGCATGCGCCCAGCGACGGCACGTCCCCCACAACAGGCTGTCAGCCGTGACGTCGGTATGCCGTGTGACCTAGGCCCACAGATATTGTGTAGGCTCAGCGTGTGACAGACGAGTCCCATCCTTCCAGCCATGTGGACCTCTACGGCATTCGAGCAGCTAGCTAACACTCCTCTACGAGCCCTTATTTTGCTACATTGTAAGTATACACACACGGTTCTCCTTAAAATTAGGAAAATTATACGAGATACTCGGTGTAAATTCTGTTTTTAGTTTAGTTTTTGTAAGAGTTTTACGGCACTTGCAATACATTTAGGCTATATCATAAGTGCCGAAGATTACAGGTGTTACTTGAGACAAAGCCCCCAAAAATGATAAGACTGGCCAAATGAATTAAAGCTCATTCGTCGACAAAGATTTCTTTTTTGAGTAGTGGCACAACTACCGTATGTTTTGAAACAAGAAGGTACAGTGCCTGAGTGGAACGAGTATTTTACCATGGCAGTTATTACTTCCACAAACACTGTCTAAACGTGTTGTTAACATGGGCGTTGGAATGCGGTTGAGACTAGAGAACTTACGCCCTCCACAAGGAATTTGCTTGACCTGCTACCGGCACTCCTATGACCTTATTGTGTTGCAAGTGCCGTAAAACTCATACTAAAACTAAAACTAACGTACTTCGAAAATACAGGATCTCCTCTCTCTGCGGGGCCATGTTTATGTCGCCATTACGCCAAGCAAGACAGACTCGTTGAGCTCATTACAAGAATGAGGCGTCTGAACGTACATATTTCCCAATATAATAGTAAAAAAATGAATGGTGACATGGCATAGGTATAATGCACCTATCAACACAATTAGGTTATTTAAGAAGACCGAGAAAAATGGGAAATTCTTGTAAAGTGCTTTTCTCAAGGACACCCAATCGGGCCGAGCAGAGGCTCAAATCCCCAGACCCGCAATCTCACATTTACAACCATATTATGAACATATCACTACCTTAGCATTACAAAGTTATGTCTGACGTTTTTTACCGTCAGAAACCAAATGGTCTATTCGTTTTATAAGATTCGCAAAATTATTCGGACTCGTTATCAAAATTTAAAATTAAAATTAAAAACTGCCTTCAAAATAGCTTGACACATGAAACTCAAAACCGTTTACTTCAAATACACAAATATCTCAAAACTGGGTATTGAGCTGATAGAACTTTGTCATTCTAAGGTAGCAATAACTCAAAACCCAAGTTAATGCGACAACCCTGAACAATGTTCCAGACCTGTCTCTACTGGATCTGGGGGCGCTCGCAGCCGTCGACGAGAGCAACTTTGAAAGGTTTTCCATATCGGGCGTCAATTTCTGGCTCTCGGACCACAAGACGACGGTACAAAATGCCAGGAACAGATGTCCGCTGATCGGCGCAGAGTTGTTTATCCCGGAGGATAACGCAGAGTACGAGGTGAGTTTTAGTTTAAGTAAGAGTTTTACGGCACTTACAACACAATAAGGTCATGTAAATGTCGAAGATTAGAGGTGTAACAAGAGAGTTACAAATACAGAAAAGAAGGAGGAGGATCAGGACGACAGATGTTTGGTAGGAAAGAAAGAGCAAACCACACCAGAGCACCCGCCAACCACCCACTACGAGGTGAGAAACGCACGTGTGTGGGAGGGGGGGTGAGGGGGAGAGAGAAAGAGAGAGAGAGAGAGAGAGAGAGAGAGAGAAAGAGAGAGAGAGAGAGAGACAGAGAGAGAGAGAGACAGAGAGAGAGAGAGAGAGAGATCTAAAGCTACCTGAATACCTGGAAGTGTCATCTCTGACTCAGAGGTTGACGTGTAATGACCCCCATCTTCTATGGTTGCGAGCTGCCCTTCCATATTATGCCATACCCAGGCCTCTATGTTGTCTGTCCATGTTACTCAGTCTTCCCCTGGCTCTCCTTCCCCACACCCTTCCTTCAAGCATCTCTTTCAAAAATATGCCATTCAGACGGAGGGGTCTTGCCGCACACCGCAGAATCCCTACTACCAACAATCCTACCCCCCCCCCCCCTTTAAAAAAAAAGGAAAGAGAAAAAAAGAAAGAAAATCACATTTCTGATCAGAAGCCTGACTGGGTCAACCCGGGCAGAGGGAGGGGAACAATGTCTCAAACAGACAGGTGGAAATACTCGATTAAAAATACCTTCCTCGCACGTCCTCTGCTTTGTTTCGTTTTAGTTAAGAGAGGCACATCGACATAATAATGGTCTTGTTATTTAGGGTTGCAAAAAGGTAATTTGTTTGTTTTAGTAAAAGCAAGCACATCGACACAATAACAATATTATTATATAGTGCTGCGAAAAAAATCATTTGTTTGTTTTAGTAAAGAGAAGCGCGCCGATATAATAATGGTCATGTCATTAAATGCAGCAAAAAAAGTAATTTGTTTGTTTGAGTAAAGACAGGCACATCGACATAATAATGGTCATTTGGTGCTGCGAAAAGTAAGTAAGGCAGACAGACACAAAACAATAGAGGGAAAGTAAAGAAGTAAAACCTACCAGTGGCGCCATCCAACCACCCCCATAATATCTTTTGCGCCCAAATAGAATAATAGAGGGTGCCCACGTCCCTCGCGACTCATTGGAGCAGAGGAAAATAGGACTAACGCTAACATTAGTTAAAAGCAATCCAACATCATCACTCATCACCACCATTATTTTTAAAATCACCATTGCTCTCAGATCAATGACTTACATTTATGATCCTTGAATCTCTATCTGTAACAGTTATTACTAACAGTCTTACTATGTACGCACGTAAAACACTATTGGAAACTATCATGCGCACCTTTTTTTTTTACTAATCAGATGGCGTCAATCTCATATAAATGGGCAAGAGATTTAAAATAATAATTCTGTGGTCGAAGGCTAAGCTCCTAACCACTGCACCAAAACGATGTTCAGCGTGTGTAGTTGTGGGGGTTTCATGACCCTCTACAAGCTCGGCGTAGTCTTGTTGCCAGTTTGTGTGCATCGAAAGAAAAATGTCGATACTTTAACTGCCGTTTACTGTTGAGAACGAGAAAGACAGACAGACAGAAAAAAAAGAGGGAAACTGTTTGTTTGCTTGAGTAAAGAGAAACAAATCGACACAATGGTGGTCATTAAGTGCTGGGGAAACGTAAGACAGACAGAGACAGACACAAAGAAGGAAAAGGAAGGAAGAGGGACCAACCAGGGGCAACCTAAGTGCATCTACTTTCCAACCGACGGCGGAGGGGCCTGTCTAATACATGACCTATATTGAAACGTGTGTGGAACCCATATTAAAATTGATAACAATCCCCGAAGGAAATTAGAACGATATATGCACCTGTCAACGCTTTTGACGCAGTTTATGTTAACCTTGTAGTGCACCAATTAAGAATAGTAATAGAGAAAGATCAACAGACGGCGAAAAGAGTCTTCATGTTACCATTAATTACAAAAGGTTCAAACCTTTGGTCCTCCTCTCCCTCCTCCCCTCTCTTCCGCGGTCTCAGGAAGCGCATTACCATAAAAACTGGCATTCGGGGGTGACTGGGGTGTGAGTCTTTGAAAAATCTTATTTAAAGCGTGTTCCCTCGAGGTTATCAATCGTCCTACTTTTCTCCGCGAGTACAATAAGGTCACCACCAATGTTCGCACACGCTTTCTTTTTCCTCAAATTAAACTAGAACTGGATTAAAACTCAATTAACACCCAGGGCAGTTAGGGGGCTCGCCGTCGCACGCAGGACATACGTTTTATCATATATCTCGGTCTTTCCACTGGGGCGTTCTATCCTTCTCATCTCAGGTTGGTTCTGACAGGGGGGGGGGGGGGGGGCATGGCGTAGCATGGCTTAAAATGGAATGGAACGGCATGTGATGGCTTGACAAGCTATGGCGTGGCGTGGCTTGGCGTGGTGTTTAATGTTATGTTATTAATGTTCCTTGCAACATTTTAAAGAATTCACTTAAAAGTTCCAAACAAATGGTTAGTCTCTGGTACCCACGAGCCCCAAGGGTGATCCCACAAAGGGAGGTCTGAACAACGCAGGGGAGTGGGGAAAGACCCAGAGAGAGAGAGAGAGAGAGAGAGAGAGAGAGAGAGAGAGAGAGAGAGAGAGAGAGAGGGAGAAGGAGAGAGAGAGGGAGAGGGAGAGGGAGAGAGAGAGGGAGAGGGGGGGGGGGGACCTATCATCAGTTTGAAAAAAAAACAACCAAAAAGAAGAAAATAACACGCTGACCTTTATAAACCCCGTTCAAGTCGAGCGGGACAAAACCTAAATGTCCAACAATCCCCCAAACGATAAGTAACGTCACACCGTACTTCCTCAGAGTGTTGGTACGTTCTTCAAGAAAAAGAACAGGCAAATAGAAGTCTGGATTGACTTCAACATCGAGGTCACTAGCGCGACCTTCTCGTGGAGATCGGAACAGTTCAACAACGATGTCTGGGCAGACGGAGAGCCCAACGACGAGTGCAAAAGCGTGCAATCTGAGGCCGAGTGCTGTGCAAGAATGAGATGGAGCCCCGGCGTTTTCACCAGGCTCTATGACTCCCCAATCTCGTGCAAGACCGCGATCAAACACTACCTGTGCAAGACAGTCCCTGTGAACGAGTGCATACTAGCACTAGACAACTGTCAGCACGACTGCATCGACCTCGACAGCGGCTTTCAGTGTGGGTGCAATGCAGGCTACAGCCTGAACGTCGACGGCTTCTCCTGCGATGACGTTGACGAATGCGCCCAAAACACTGACAACTGTGACCATATATGTTCCAACACCGATGGTACGTATTTGTGCACTTGTAACCGTGGATATCAAATTGGAAAAGACGGACTGTCTTGCGACGACGTTGACGAATGTGCAACAAACACCCACCACTGTCACCAAACATGTGCCAACACGGACGGATCATTCTCATGTGGTTGTAACACTGGATACGAGCTTTCTCCGGATGGATTCTCGTGCCAGGATTCTGATGAATGTGCTGACGGCACCGACAATTGCCTGGAGGTATGTGTTAACACACACGGGTCATTTTCCTGTGGTTGTAATGCCGGATATAGACTTTCCAGAGATGGATTTTCATGTCAAGATATTGACGAATGTGCCGATGACACGGACAACTGTCGTCATACGTGTGTTAACACACAAGGGTCCTTTTCCTGTGGATGTAATGCTGGATATAGTCTTTCATTGGACAGATTTTCATGCCAAGATGTTGACGAATGTGCTGATGGTACTGATAACTGTGATCATACGTGTGTAAATACACAAGGATCATTTTCCTGTGGTTGTAATGCTGGATATCGTCTTTCCAGAGATGGATTTTCATGTGATGAAATTGACGAATGTACTGAAGGTACCGACAATTGCCTGCATGTGTGTGTTAACACACCCGGATCATTTTCCTGTGGCTGTAATGTTGGATACAGTCTTTCCACAGATGGATTTTCATGCCAAGATGTTGACGAATGCGCTGATGTAACAGACACGTGTGAAGATACATGCACCAACACTGTCGGTTCTTTTGAATGCAGTTGTCCGGCTGGCTACTCACTCAACGCGCGCGATGATTCGTGCAGTGACAACGACGAGTGTACCGACGGCACGGACGACTGCGAGGAACTCTGCTTCAACACGCCCGGCAGCTTTACGTGTGGGTGTCCCAGTGGTGAACATTTGGGCGCGGACGGAACAACCTGCGACGTGTCGCCAGTGGATGAGTGTGCTCAAAACCAGCACAACTGTCAAATGCACTGCACCGACTTGGCGCAAGGCTTCTCCTGTAGTTGTGACCCGGGGTACCTTTTGGCGGCCGACAACGCCGCGTGCATCGACGAAGACGAGTGTGCCGACCCCGAAACATCGCCCTGCCAGCAGAACTGCGACAACACGGCGGGGAGCTACACGTGTAGTTGTGACCCGGGGTACACGCTCAACGCGGACGGGCAAACGTGCAGGGACAATGACGAATGTGCGGACGCGGACGATCACAACTGCCAGCACACGTGCGTGAATCAGCCCGGGTCTTTCACGTGCACGTGTAGAGACGGTTACGACCTGGGCACAGACTTGGCGTCCTGCGAAGACGTGGACGAGTGCGCCACAAACACCCACACGTGTCAAGAGAATTGTGTCAACACGGCGGGCTCTTACACCTGTGCATGTCCACCTGGCTACGCTCTACTCACCAACGGGAAATCGTGCGCAGACACCAACGAGTGCGAGGTAACGCCCTCCCCCTGTAGCGACATCTGTCAGAACTCGCCAGGCTCCTACACCTGCGCCTGCCACCTGGGCCGAACTCTCAGCTCCAACGGACACACGTGCGTCGACAACGGATCGGGCACATCATCGTCGGGGCTCCAACTATGTCCCTGCTCGTGCTCACTACAACAAATCCAGGCCAAACTGAACATGACCGTGTCAGAGCTGGAGTCGGAGACCGCGCAACTCCAGAAGGAGCTGACGGTGAACAAGCAGAACCTCTCCTCCACCCAGCGGCGTCTGAACAGCGCCCCGGACGACCGGTCTTCCTCGCAGGTGGCGGGCAGTCTGGCCATAGCGCTGCTCGCCCTAACTCTTGCCTTGATGCTCGTGCCTGACACTTTACAAGTCATATCCTTCCTTATACACCTTCGATGGAAACCCAAGTGGCCGAGATGAGACCTTTCGTTCACGGGGACTGGTTTGTTTGTATGCGCATGTGTCTTTCTCTCTTTTCCCCCATTCTTTCTTTCTTGCAAAATTTGGATGTGCTTAGACTGTCATTACAAAGAAGTTAAGCTCTCATCGACACATTTAAGGTCATAATCGAAGCGCGGAGGTTCGACTCTGCCTGCCAGTGCCAACTCAAGAAAAATGGGAAAACAACACTCAGGGAAAAGGCGGAAACACTCGATTAAAAAAGCCTCTCCACTTGAGAATCGAACCACCGTCTTCTGCGTACAAAGCAAGGGGCTTCACAGTTAAAATATTGACACAAGAGGTTAGGCATGATACTTCACAGTTGAAACTATTTTTCTGCAAATAATGTCTTTCTTATTCTTATAACACCTTTCTCTCCTTTGCTCTAGCCTCTTCTTCGTGTTGCATTTTGATACGCTACTGTCGTCGAACATGTTGTTGCTGTTGTCGTTGTTGTTGTTATTACTGTTGTTGTTATTACTGTTGTTGCTGCTGTTGTTGTTATTGCTGAACATGTTTGTTGTGCATGTCCTGTGATGCCATCGAATTTGTTTCCGCCATCCCTGTCATTGTGTTTATCGTCGACACAGTTGCTGCTGTTGTTGCACATATTAGTAGAGTGTACATAGTCCATGTTGGTGAATTTGACGCTGTTGTCGTTCTCCTGCTGGTGACGCGGGGTGCGGAAATTTGCGCCGGATTTTTATTTTAAATGGTATCGAAGATGATGGTTGTATAAATAAGCCTTCCAGGCGTGACTAGATGAATTCACATCGTTCACATACAACGAAACTATTATAAAACATTTACTTGGCAGAGTGAAATAAGTATCAATATTGCTTATGTTACTTTTCAAGATTTATGAATCGATACGGCATCAGAAAAAAACATTAACGAAGAAACAAGCAAACAATAAACAAAAAGAACCCCCCCCCCACCAATACCATTTAAATCTTAGCAAATGAAAGAGGTCTAATCTGTCCCCGCGGTTTGGTGCAAAAAAATAATTCTGAAATTATGCAAACTGGGCCCAAAAAGGTGAAATTATGCTATTCTCTTAATTCTAACAAAGAATGATAAAGGAAAATAATCAGAAATTATGCAAAAAAATCATCAAATTTTGCTAAATTATGCGGGTTGCATAAAACTACGGGCACAATCTAATACATACAAAAAAATCCACCAAAAAAAAAAAAAAAATCACATGCACCCGGTTCCCATTTAACACGGAGTAAAGAAATATCAATACCAACAGGGGCAAAAAAAAACAACCCCAGCGCAAATTTCTGCTTCCCGCGGCTGCAGCTGCTGTCTGATTTTGTTGCGGCTGTTGTAGCTGTACACAGCGTATATTTCGCTACTGTTGTTGCTACAGAAGTAGTGGAATGGGACACTGGTATTTCCATTTGTTCCTGATGCTTTAGTTGTTGTAATGATCGATTATTCATGTGTTTTTTTTATTTTCCTTTCTTTTTATTCCCATATCCATCACCCTCTTCTTATACATTTTCGTTTTCAAAACACTTCTTTTTCTTCTTCTTCAAAGCCCACTCTCTCTCTCTCTCTCTGTCTGGCTCTCCCCCTCTCTCTCTCTCTCTCTCTCTCTTTGTCTGTCTGTCTCTGTCTGTCTGTCTCTTTCTTTCTCTCTTTCTCCACATTTCATTTTCTTCCTCTTTAACCCCTTCACTACCAACCAGAACTGCATTATAAAACACCACACCACACAAACCAGTCTAGCAGAACTGCATTCTAAAACAGTAAAAGAGCTTGCACAATCCTACTCGAGGCACTGGAGGTGGGGAAAAAACCCATACTCACACTCGTGTCATTCAGCTTCGTCCCCCCCCCCTCTCAACCCTCGTGCCATTTCAAAACCCATTTATTTAGATCTACTCCTATTCCCACAAGTTCTTCAATTTCTCTTGACAGATTTCACTCTCCCTGTGAAAAGTTATGAGCTCGCTATCCAATTGCCCTGGGCTGGCCTCTTATGCCCATCGATCACTTTCCCCGAAGACTTGGCCCGAGGAAAGGGCAAGACAGGAAATGATCTCACATTTTTTTCAAGCTTTCATCAGACTTGGTACATGTCTGTGCAGGCGAGTTTCGCGGAATGTGCTTGCTTGCGTGTGTGAGTTTTTCAGGGTGTGCGTTTGTCTACGCTTTCGTCTGCACGAAGGAGGCCAACACCCGTGGCTGCATGCACTTTGTGAATATATAATGTAATTTGAATAATTTTTAAATATTAATTTAAGACAACAACGTATGATTCAATTTGGGAAAGTACGTATGTGCGTGTGTGTTTGTTTGTG